TATTCAGTCGATTTATGCGAAGGAATGCTTCAGAAAGTGTGAATCAAGCACAAAGCGAGTTCAAAGTGAAATGCAAATAACAAGATAGCAGACCCTAGGGACAAAGCTGAGAATTCAGCTGCAGTTATTTGCGTAAATTTACCTTAAGGTAATGAGTATCACAAATAAAGGACTTAACTCATTTAACTAATTTTAAGCCAATATAGACAAATGATGCGTAACTTAGAAGAACTACAAAGACTAATAGAACCAGAGAAATAAGATTTGGTACTCACTTAGTACGGAAGCCAGGCGAAACATGTGACAAAAGGTACCTCAGCGATAAGCGAAACTCATGTCACGTAAATACGAAATCACTTTAGAGGAATTCACAGGAGATACTGATATGGAGCGTGAAGGGAAGACTCAAGGATGACCCACTCCAAAGTGACTTGGAAGTAGATGAGAGCCTCAGGCAACAGTGGAGGGAGGGATTGAGAATGTTTGTAAAACCTACAGTTTCGTCTTTGCAGATAGCACAGAGTTGGGTGCCCCCAATTGCGACGGTGAAGAGACCAAAGAGGACAGCCTCGAATCCCGCGCCGATGGCGAACATGGTAGAGGGGAGGGAGGTAGAGGAGGCATTGGTCGCACCAAACGACGAAATCAGGCGGTTCTTACAGGTCGCTGAACGCATACGTACAAGCACATACATGCACGCATACAAGTACGCACACACACTCGAGTTTTGTTATACACCACAAATGCATACATGCCTAAAACCCTGCCTTGCCAAAGGAGTGCTGATGACGTGCTCGTCGACTTGAGGACCAGGTAACTTTACCACTGCGATAACTAACACCAGCCAGGATGGTTACACATCTGATGTGTTGATACTACGAGGTCATTCATGGTAGTAATCGGTGGTTGGACTAGGATTATACATTAGAGTTGTCACAAGTTTTTTCTTCAGATAAGAATAATGACAAAAAAAGGCACTAAACACAACAAAGTCGGAGAGATGGTATCTTACCATGGATCCGAAATACGTA